CCAAGAGAGTCCAAGACGGCCCAAGACGGCCCAAGAGGCCCCCCAGAGGCCTCCCAGACGGCCCAAGAGGCCTCCAAGAGGTCCTCCAGGAGAGTCCGAAGAGGCCAAAATCATTGATTTTCCCTTGGTTTTTGAAGGATTTTGGCATTTGCGCCTTTTCGGCTCTCCGACGGCTCAAGACGGCCCAAGAAGCCCCCAAGATCGCCCAAGAGGCCCCCAAGAGAGCCCCATGATGGCCCAAGTGGCCTCCAAGATGGCCCCTAGAGGGCCCCAAGAGGGCCCAAGAGGCCTCCAACACGCCCAAGATGGCCTCCCAGACGCCCAAGATGGCCTCCAAGACGGCCCTGGAGCATTCCAAGCGGGCCCCAAGTCGGCCCATAGAGGCCCCCCAAACGGCTTCCGACGGCTTCAGACGTGCCAGGAACCCACCAAGATGGCCGAAGTTGGCTCGAAGCTGGCCCGAGACGGCCCAAAAAGCCCCAAAGATCGCCCAAAGCTTGCCCAAGAGGCCTCCAAGACGGCCAAGATGACCTTCAAGATGCCCACGTGTTCCCCGAAGGCTTTCCAAACCGATTCGGGGAACACGTGGTCCGATAGCTTGGCAGGTCTGGCCTCAACGTTCGGCCACATAGGCGCTTCCAAAAAGGCAGGGGGCGGCGGTGATTCGCCGTAGGCGTCTTCGATCCGCCGCCCCCTGTCTTGCAGGGGTGCACGGCGTGCTGGATGTTTCAGGTTTTGGTTTTGGTTCTTTTTCTAAAAGAACTCCCCAGTGGGCTTCGGCCCGTCCCGCCGGCCACCCGCAAGTTTCCGAAAATCCATCTGTCAATGCCTTTGTTGCCCCAACTTGGCCCAAGATGGCCTCCAAGACGGCCAAGATGGCCCAAGATGGCCTCCAAGATGCTTCCAAGACGGCCAAGATGGCCTCCAAGACGGGTAAGATGGCTCCAAGATGCACCCAAGACGGCCCAAGATGGCCTCAAGATGGTCTAAGACGGCCCAAAAGGCCCGCAAAAGGCCTCCAAGACGGCCCAAGAGCCCTCCAAGACGCCCTCCAGGAAGGCCCGAATAGGTTAAAATCATTGATTTTCCTTAGGTTTTTCAAGGATTTTGGCATGTTCTTCTTTTCAGCTCTCCGACGGCCCAAGACGGCCCAAGAGGTCCCCAACATCGCCCCAACAGCACCCAAGAGGCCTCCAAGATGGCCCCATGACGGCCCAAGAGGCCCCCAAGAAGGCCCCAAGAGGGCCTCAAGACGGCCCAAGAGGCCTCCAAGACGCCCAAGATGGCCTCCAAGACGGCCAAGATGGCCCAAGATGGCCTCCAAGATGCCTCCAAGACGGCCAAGATGGCCTCCAAGACGGGTAAGATGGCTCCAAGATGCACCCAAGACGGTCCAAGATGGCCTCAAGATGGTCTAAGACGGCCCAAAAGGCCGGCAAAAGGCCTCCAAGACGGCCCAAGAGCCCTCCAAGACGCCCTCCAGGAAGGCCCGAATAGGTTAAAATCATTGATGTTCCTCAGGTTTTTGAAGGATTGTGGCCCAATATAAACCCAGAGTAGCCAAAAAGGCACTCAAGAGACCTCCTCCTCCATTCCCCCCCTTCCTATCTCTCCTCTCCTCCCCGTCCTCCCCCACGTGTTCCCCGAAGGCTGTAAAGACCGATTCGGGGAACATATGGCCCAATAACTTGGCAGACCTCTGGCCACAGCAGTCGGCCGCATCGGCGCTTCCGAAAGGGCAGGGGGCGGCGGTGATTCGCCGTAGGCGTCTTCGATAAATGCAGAGTGAGAAGGGGAGGGAGGGAAAAAGAGAGGAAGGACGAGGGCGAAGGAGGATCACATCAGTCGGAGCGCCCCCGGATCGGCGGCACTGGCCGGAGGCCACTACAATTATGATCGTGCCGTTTCTTGTTCTCTGACTCTCCCTGCCCCCCCCTCTTCCGATGATCCTCAGAACGTGTGCTAGCGCCAACGTGTGCTTGCCCATTGAGTCCCTTCAATACGACGAGGGCGATGTAATGACCTACTGGTTGGACTGAACGGGGTAAACACACACACACACACACACACCTGGCTAACACACGTCCTGGGGATCATCGACCCTTCCCCCCTCGGTCCGGCCCGATCCCGCCGCCTCTTTCGGCCGCAGCGGCCCCGCTGGCGGCTGCGACGCCCCGCGACGCTCCGCGGCCGGCCCGCGTGCGCGCGGCACTTCCGCGCCGCGCGCGGTGGCGGTGCACGCCTCGGGGGCGCCTCTGGCCGAGGCCTCGGCGGACGGGGGAGCCGCGCCCGCGGGCTTTTTTGGGGGGGGATGGGGGGGGGTGCACCCCGCGCGATGAGAGCGGGGCGGGGTGGGAGTGAAGGATCAAAGAGCCAACCCGACCAAGGGTCCGCAGGATGGAGATGATGAATGCCTTCCCCTCCTCTGGCAAGAAGGGGTGCTCATGTGCCTTTCGGTGCCAACACCTGGGCCAAGGGCAGCGGATGAGGGTAAGAGGTAGGTGAAAGAGGGTACCCACACACAGGAGGAAGAGGAAGAAGAGGAGGACCCAGATCTCCAACGATCGGCTTCGCGCTCCTCCATCCATCCCCCTTCTCCCTCATCACTCTCCTCCAGCCTCCTCCATCCTCGTTCTCCTCTTCCTCCTCCCCCATCCTCCTTGTCATCTTCCCCCCTTCTCCCCGTTCTCCATCGCCCTCCTCATCCTCCCCCTTCTTGCTCCTCTGCCTCCCCCTCTCTCTCGGCTTGAATGTCTCCTGATGTAGCCCTCTTCCTCCTCCTCCTCCTCCTCATCATCATCATCTTCCTCCTCCTCCTCCTCATCCTCCTCCTCGTCCTCGTCCTCGTCCTCACCATCATCACCACCATCCCCACCACCACCCCCACCACCGTCACCATCCCCCCTCATTCAAATTATCCCTCCCGCGCCTCATCCCTCCTCCGCCTCCTCCCCCATTTCCCCTTCCTCTCCCCAAAAGCCCTCCTGCTTTACCTCCTCCCCTTATCCCCTCTTACTTATCCCTCCTGTTCCTGCCTTTCTCCTTCCTACTTCCTCCTCGTCCTCCTCCTCATCTGTTCATTCGCCCCCTCGTTCCCCGTCTCCCTCCGACTCTTCTCTCATCCTCATTCCCCTCCTCCTCCTCATCCTCCTCCTCCGCTTCCTCATCATCACCAGCATCACCACCACCACCATCATCAACATCATCAACATCATCACCATCAAAAACAACCTCTTGCGCCGTCTGGCCCCTTCGGAGGCCGCTTTGGGGGCCTCTCGGGGCCGCCTTGTGGCTCTCTTGGGATTATCTTGGGCCGTCTTGGGGGCCTCTTGAGCCGTCTTGGGGCCATCTTACGGTCCTCTGGGGCCGTCTTGGGGCCCTCTTTGGGGCCTCTAGGACCGTCTTGGCACCATCTTGGAGGCTGCTTGGGCACTCATGGGTGCAATTGGGGCCGCCTTGGGGGCCTCTTGGGGCCATCTTGGGCCCTCTTTGGGCCGTCTTGGCCAGTCTCCAGGCCACCTTGAGCCGCCATCAGGCCCTCTTGGACCCCCAAGAGGCCATTGGATACATTGCGTATTAGCCTTCGCGAATAACGCTGCCGCTCAACACGTCACCTCCAGACGTGGATCCCCTCGTACCCCCCCCCCTGGAGTCGCGCCACATCAGCCGGCCCAAGATGGCTCACCCCACCTGGGGCCCAAAACGGACAAAACGTTCGGAAATCTGTGCAATCGGTCTCTGGGCCCTCGGGGTCCAAAAGGGTCTCCAACCGGCTCAACATGGCCTGCAGACGGCCCAAGACGAGCAAGATGGCCCCAAAAGGGCCCCAGAGGCCCCAAAGACGGCCCCAGAGAGCTCCGAGGGGGCCTCCAAAAGCACCTCCATAGGCAAAAAAAACTGAGGACGTCCCGAGATCTTTTCAAGGCGGGGACTCGGATGAACGAACGGCTGCGCGTCCTGGCGCTCAGCTGTGAGGCACCATCAACTCAAAGAGAAAAATGAGACAGAGCATGTGTGTCACGCATGCTAGAGAGGGTTCGGGGGGGCGGGGGACCAGAGAAGCTATGTGAAGCAAGAGTGAGAGAGCCAAAGGGGCGACATAATGAAAACCCCTCTTGACTTCCTTCACGTGCAAGCACAAACCAGGACGTCCCGAGATCTTTTCAAGGCGGGGACTCGGATGAACGAACGGCTGCGCGCCCTGGCGCTCAGCTGCGAGGCACCATCAACCCAAGCCGTTCCCAAGAATGTTTACTGGGTGGGCGGGCAAGGGCGATTATATAAAGACGCACGCCATTCACTCAAGAGGACTTTGGCAAGCTTCCTATTGAGGGCTGGCGAATAGGCGGCAGCGATAGCGGTCCATTTCGCACCATTCGGAGCGTTGCCCTCAAGCACAATGTGTTGACGGCCAGACTTGTTACAGGTACCGTTGATCTGAGTACACCGACGATCGAGACAGCTACTATCCTGGACATCTATGTTCAGACACAAAAATCTCGTCCGCTTGCGCCAACGAGCACCTTCCTGACACTGGTCGAGACATCTTACTTCGGCCCCCCGATCTATAAACCCCTGAACCTCTCTCGTGACAAAAACGCGTGAATTCACCGGATGTTCGAGCATGCAGGGAACTCTGAATTTCTCGCAACATCTGATGATAGACAGCGCGGCACGCATGGTCTTATTGCCAGACGCCAGGCGAGCAAGCTGCTTTGTACTCAAGAGATGTTGCGGGGGTCCCCAGGGCTGCGATGCCGAGCGGATGGCCCCCACACGGTCGGCAGCGGTGGTCCAGGGCCCACAGGGCGGTGCCAGCATCACGGCTAAGACGCGGCCAGCAGCGATGTCCGAGCACAGGCCTCGCAAGACCTTTCGTCGGAGCAGGTCGCCGCCTGGCCCGCGCAGCGTGTCCCAGAATCTGGCTGGCACGCCCATCGCCATTGCAGCGCGCCCCACGCCTCCTCTGCCACTGAAGCAGTCGGCTAGGTACTGGCCCGTCAGGCGTGGTCGAGCTCCCGCAAGTCGACCGGCGAGGCGCGACCCAAAATGATGTCCGCGAGCTGAGCCTCGCAGACCAGGAACACGTTTTGCTGCGCGCTGCTCAATGTCGCCCACGTGGCTGCCAGGCGTGCATGCTTCTCGTAGCGGACGACGCTGCGGTTGGTATTCCACTGCCCGCGTTTCTGCACGTCGGCCAGCCGTCCCCACCTCCTCGCCATGTCTATCGAGGCCCCCGAGTGGCGCATCTGGTACGGCACCACCTTGGCCTTTACCCGCAGGTCCTGAAGGCATAGGCTGAACATCTTGCAGTACTCTGGGTACGTGAAGTTCCACAGGCACTCGGGATGGCCCTCCTTCTTCATTTGACGCAGCACAGGGTCCAAGAAGCGAATCCAGGGCGAGTCTAACTCTAGCGACACGTCCCCCAGGCCCGTCTTGCCCCTCAGGTCTTCCTCCTCTGGAAAGAGCCTCAAGGTCCAGAACTCGCACACCCCCGCCGCTGGCGGCACCAGGCAGGCCGGCTTCAGGAGCAAAAGGCTGCTGGGGCGGGCGTACACGCTGACTGCTATCAACGTGAACACCGCCATCTGAAGACTGCCACGGGCCTTCATGCGCCACGCCATTGCGCACCACAACCCCAGCGCCCACGGCTTCCTCGTCCGCGGCGGCTCCAGGCGCCGCCAGGCCCGGAGGCATCTCCAGCCCCGGGGGGGGCGCCGGGCACCGTAGCGCGAGAAGTCGGGGTTGAAGTGCAGGACCCCCGCCATCAACTTCTCGGCCCAGGAGAGGTGAGTCCCAGCCTGGTACAAGCCGTTCAGGTAGCTCACCAACGCCGAGTCTACCACGGAATCGCCCCTGCTCTTCATGACCTCGTCGATGTCGACCGAGGGCCAGCTCCGACGGGCAAAGTCCCGCCATCCGTCCCAGGCCCTCTGGTACTCGCGCTGCGTCGGGGTCCGCACGGCCTCCCGCTCCAGGAGAGAGAAGCCCTCCTCGCCGGTGGGCATCCCGTTGTGGCGGGCACGGCGCTTCTGCGACTGCGCGAGCCTGCGCAGCCGCGCGGCGCCGGTCACGACCTCGGGCTCGGAGCTCCCGCTGTCGGAGGAGCCGACGCTCTCTCGCGCTCCCCGAGCGGGCTCCGCTGGCACAGGCACCTTCGTCAGGTCCTCCACCGCTTGCCCCAGGCTCCGCGGCAGGGGACGGCTCAGCACAGCCGTCTTCAGGAGCCCCGACTCGCCCAGCTGACGCTCCCGCCGAGCTGCCGGCAGCGGCAGCGGCGCTATCGGCGGCGCAGGGACCAGCTGCCGCGCGCGCCTCACCCCCTGGCCGCGGGCTGACGGCTGCAGGCCAGGCTCCGGGCGAGACGGCCCCAGCAGCCGCGTGCGCCGGCGGCCCGCCCCAAGCCAGGCGCCTTGCCTGGCCTGCTGGGGGCTCCGAGAGCGCTCCCGCCCGTCTGGCGCTCGAAGGCGCCCAGGCAGCATCGCGGGCCGCGACGCCATCGGCCGCCCGCTCGGGCTCGGCCCAGGCGGAGACCCGCCCTGGGCCCGCCTGGGGGCCCTCGAGCTCCAACAGCTCAGCCAGAAGGGTGGATTTGCGCCGCCAGGATCGAATAGCCGTGAGGGAAGATCGGCACAGTTGAGCTCACTAGGTATCCAACGAATCGAACAACGAATGTTTCGGCTCAAAAAGACAGCGTGAAATCGACGAATCTGGACCAACAAGTTGAAACACGAGCTCCTTCCCCGATTGAAGCTTAGCACGACCGACATATTGTCACAGAGCAGTAATTGACGTATATGGGACCCAAAGACCGCGGTGGCGATACGATGGATGCTGCTGACCAGGGCTCGGGCCTCCAAGGTCCAGATGCCCTCAGGGTGCTGCCAGGCTCTCGCGAAACAGGGCTCCCAAAGGCCTGCGCGGAGCCCCTGGGCGGGCACCTCCGGGAAGTCCCTCACGACGTCCCACTGGCCCAGCTCCTCCTCGTCCTCGGGAAGGCCCTTGAGCTCCCATTTTCCACTCTCACTCATGCTGAAGCCAGCTGCACAGAGCGCCGCCTCTCGAGCACTGCGGGCGCAGCGCCGGCGAAAGCGGGCTCGCTCAGGCACGCGCCCGACTGACTCCACCAGCTCCTGCGGCCAGAAAGCTCTTGCCAGCCCGTAGCCGTGAAGACTGGCGTCAGACTGCTGCACCATCGGATTCCAAGGCAGCCACCAATCTGACTCCAAAAAGTACATCAGGGAGCTGAAGGCGGCCAGCTCTCGCCGCGCCTCGGCCCATAGCACGGCCGCCTCGTCGTAGTGGGCTCGCACAAAGCCGTACACTGAATTGAAAGCTGACAAGGTGCCGCGCGAGCAGAGGCCACAAAAGGTTAGATGGCCCAGCACCGCCTCCACGGCCCACCCCTTGACACGGCGGCGGGCTAGGAGGCCTCGCACGGCCTGGCGGCAACGCCAGAAGCGATCACTGGTCACACGAGTGCGCAACTGGCTGCCGTCGATCTCCGCGCCAAGCGCCACTGCCATGCCCGGCACCAGCTCGTCCTTGTGCAACAGTAGGTTCAGCTCGGTGAACTCGCCCGTCAGCTGGTTCATCACGCCGCTCACGAGCTCAGAGAACAGCGAAAAGACCCCCAAGTTGTCGACGTACACGCAGTGCCTGACCTCCTGGGGCGCCCCGCCGGGCGCGAACACAAGCGGTGGCCCATGGTCTGACAAACTGGGCCCCCTGAGGAGCGCGCTGCTGCGGCGGCTCACCTCCTCGTTGGCCCGCTGGGCGAAATAGAGAGACCAGCTGAAGCCCATGGGCAGGACCTGCCAGCAAGGGTAGATGGCCGTCGACGTCCGTACCTTGGCCCCCTCGACCTCGGTCACGCCGAAGGCCCCAGCCTTGACCGGCGGCAGGCAAAAGTACTGCGAAAGGGCTGAATCGATACGCATTCGATGAAAGCAGTCCTTCACATCCGCCATGCCGATGTACACCAGCTGCGCCTGCAACGCGGCGCGGAGTCCTCGTAGCTTGAGAAGCCCGCGTCTGGCATGCGCACCTCGATCCTGGCGAGGCCCTCGCTGCTCAATAGCTCCACCCCAGGCGGATCTCTGAAGTGGGCGTTCGCACGGCGGGCGTCGACTATGAGGCGAAGTCGGCGCCGCCCATCCTTCCACACAAAAAAACATCCCAATCCTCTCTTTCGGTGTCAGAGTCCACCCCAGAATGCCAGCTGACAGCAGCCGACGTACCAGGCCGCGGTACTCCTTGTGGTTGAACTTGAGGACCGAGTCGAAGTACGGCTCGACGTCGGTCGGCAAAAGTGACTCTCGTAACATGCGCTCTTGGCGCTCCTGCAGGAAGGTAAGGGCCTCGCCAGGCAAGAGATCCTCAAGACGCGGGCAGTCGCTCACGTCCGTCGGCATGCTGACGAGCCCTGCACTGTAGGAGGCGACCGTCGTCGGGCCGCCGCGCCCATCATATGGCGAGCGGCCCCGCAGCAGCTCCCGGAGGGCCGCCTGCGGCTCCTGCAACTTGGCGCCCGGCTGCCGGCCCCGCACGAGGCCCTCGAAGCGCGCAAGCACATCCCGCTGCATGTCATTGGCTGGGCCAGGATGCGAGTCGTAACCCGACATCCAGTTGATGGCATCGACGATACCGTTGACCTCCGACGCAATCCGATCCTCACGACCGAACTGCCTCGCCCTGCAAGACCTGCCGCGAATTCGGCGGCCTGCGTCGCCCAGCAGCGGGAGCGGCAGGAAGCTGCGGGCTCCACGCGAGGGCGGCAGTCGGCCACCGTCGTGCCCCGGCAAAAAGGGCCCGGGGGAGGGGCTGGAGCCCCCGGGCCCGGGGGCCGTCATGGCCCCGTGGAGGCGACGCCCCTGGCCCGGCCGCGCCCGCGGCCGCCTCGGCCGCCACCACGCCCCGCGCCTGCTGCGTCACCTCCAGCTCCTTCTGCTCCGTCGACTGCCTCTGCAGGCGCCCCACGTAGCGTACGCGCCCGACCTTGCGCCTGCTCTATCTCGTGCTGCTCCTTCGCCCGCCGGTGGACGCAGCCCCTGAGCTCTGGCCCCGAGACGTCCTCCACCGAGCTCACGCCCTCGAAGAAGCGCGCGTTCGTCCAGCTCGGCTTGGTCGGGTCCGAGTAGGCATCCACCACTGCGGCGACACGGCGAGTCAACACCTCCACCATCATGAGGCCGCCCATGTTCAGCTGGTCATATACCCCGCCCTGGCACAAAGCCTCCACGATCGTCCTCAGCTCGTGCACCACGCGGTCATTCTGCCCGAGGCCCTTCATGCGGATGAAGAGGTCGAGCCAGAGCCGCGGGTCGCCACCGTGCCTCTCCATGTGCTTCAACATGTGGAGAGCCCCAGGCGGTCCGTCCACCTTCGCGTCCGGGTAGTGCTCCTGCCTCGACTCGCCTACCACGTCCCGCCATCGCTTGAACCGTTCGCCCTGCTCGTCGTAGTCGACCCAGAGCGCGCGGGCGTCGGCGTCTCGCTCCTCGCCCAGCGGCTCCGCCAGGGGAGGCAGCGCCAGCTCGGGCGTAGCCGTGCCGCCGACAGGCTCGGCGGGCCCATCATCCTCGAGTGGCGCCGCGGCCGCAGCACGTCGGCGCTCGGGGCCCGTGGCACGCGCATGGCCTCTGTCCAGGTCCTGCCAGACCGCGGCCTCCTCGGCCACGCGCCCAGGGGCCGACCCAGCGTCCAGCCGAGCGAGACGCACCATGCCGCCGTCGGCGGCCCTCAGCACGCCGAAAGGCTCAGGCCCGCCCTCGAAGCTCAGGCCTTCGGCGTTCGCCACGTCGACCTCTGCCCCGATCGCGACGCCAGGCCCGCCGCTGAGGGCGATCCAGGCCTGACCCGGCCCAGGAGCCTCCAGAAGCTTCCCGCCCAAGCGAGCCACGGCCATGCCCAAGCGCAGCAGGCCGGCCCGCTCCGCGGCCGACAGCTTGCCGGAAGCCTCCTGCCACGAGACCCGTTGGCCGCCCACGGCCACAGCCTCCCTCGGCTCAGGCAAGGCGGCGTCTATCTCCAGCGCCGCCTGCCGGCCCCGTGTCAGCGCGTCGGCCAGCTCGTCGGGCCCCAGAGCCTCCCGGAAGCGATACAGCCTCCGCATCTTCCGCGTCCGCAGCGCCAGCGGGAAGGCTCGAGAGGGCCCCGTCTCGGGGTTCTCACAGCTCATGTCCTCAGCGTAGATGTCACCGTCGGGGGTCAGGATGACCCACTCGCCCTCCGCCACGTAGTGTAGCAGCACTCGCTCGTGGTCGACGTCGTCGTCGGCGAACCGGCAGACCACGCGCTCTCCTGGGAGCGCTCTAGTCCACCACTCCCGCCCCGCGTCTCCGCGGAGCCACCCCACGAGCGTCGACATGCCTGCGGGCGATCACCTTCCCCACCAGCCAGTGCACCAGCCCTCCGAGCAGCGCTCCAGCGAGCTTCTCGACCGCCTTCTCGCCCGTCGTCACCGTCGGGCACGCCCTCGCCTCGCAGGCCGGGCAGGCCGCACACGGCGGCGGCTCGCAGGCCGGGCAAGCCGCGCAGGGAGGCGGCTCGCAAGCCGGGCAAGCCACGGCCTCAGGGCAGGCCGCCGCCTCTGGGCACGCCGGGCAGGCGGGGCACGAGAGGTCAGGGCAGGCCGCCTGCCCTGGGCCCCACCCTGGCCCCAGGTAGGCCGCGGCCTCCAGCGCCAGCACCACCCAGGCCGGCAACGCGGCCGCCCCGCCAGGGATGGCGACCCCGTCCATCGACTCTGGACCAGAGAAGCTATGTGAAGCAAGAGTGAGAGAGCCAAAGGGGCGACATAATGAAAACCCCTCTTGACTTCCTTCACGTGCAAGCACAAACCATTCCAGATGGTCTTTGCAAGATTTTCGCGTTCTCACCTTCTTCGACTCCTGGGAGCCCATGACGGCCCAAGAAGCCTCCAAGATGGTCCCAAGACGGCCCGAGAGGCCCCGAAGATGGTCCAAAGAGGCCCCCGAGACGGCTCAAGAGGCCTCCAAGACGGCACAAGAGAATCCCAATAGAGCCACAAGGCGGCCCCGAGAGGGCCCCAAGACGGCCTCCGAAGGGGCCAGACGGCGCAAGAACACCCAAACCCGGAAGGACCCAAGAGGCACGAAAGAGGCCCCGAAGAGGCCCCCCAGAGGCCCCCAGGGCCCCAGGAGTCCCCAAGAAGCCTCCAAGAGGCCCCCAAGAATCCCCCAAACGGCCCCAAGAAACCACCAAGAGGCCCGCGGAATTGTATACGTATGGCGCGTCGTTGTTATGCTCATCGGAACTTGACCTTGGCGTTGCCTTATGCTGGCACGCGGTGAATGCTCATTGGCCTCGTGGACATTCGCGCGCTCGTCCCAGCGCTGAAACGGGTGGGGCGCATCCGCCCCCCGCGGCGCTGGCAGCGCCCCGGGGCGGGCAGAACGACACGGCAAAACAGTGCGGCAGACGAACAGGGCGAACCACCCAAAACGCAGTCTTACCGTTCTCTGGACGTGCACCCCGCGAGGTGAGAGGAATCCACGTCTGGAGGTGACGAACGGCACAGCAGAACGTCGCGGCAGACAAGCAGGGCAAACCACCCAACGCCCAGACTTACGTTTTCCAGACGTGCACCCCGCGAAGCGACGGGAATCCACGTCCGGAAGGAACGTGTTGCCGGAGGCAGGTCGCGGAGCGGAGCGGAAGCCCTACTGCAACTTATTCCGCACATCGAAGTATCATTGACATTCAACGATGCATCCAATTCTTGTATGAGTGCTACATACAATGTTGATTTACAGTATCATGCACCCCGCGTAAAGCCCCTCCCCAAGCGCTACGCCACGTCCGTCAACCAAAGATGCTCCCACCCCTCCTTCTGGGGCTCAAAAACTTACGAAAACCGATTGAAAATCTATGATTTGGGCCTCTTTGGCCTCTTGGGGGTCCGAGAGGGCCTCAAGACGGCTCCAGATGGAATCGAGAGGGGCCAAGGCGGCCCCAAGACGGCCCGGATGGCTCCAAGAGGACCCAACAAGCCCCCAAGACGGCCCCAGAGGGCCCCCGAAGGGGGCCCCAAGAGCACCTCCAGAGGCCAAAAACATTGATTTTCCTGCTGGTCAACGGGTTCGAGTTCTAGCAATTTTCGACTCTCGGGGGGCCATGACGTCCCAAGCAACGCGCAATATGGCCCCAAGACGGCCCCAGAGGCCCCCCAAAGGGCCGCAAGATGGCCCGAAGAGGCCCCCGAGACGGCTCAAGAGGCCCCCAAGACGGCAGACGGCCCAAGAGGACCCTGAGAGAGCCACAAGGATGCCTCCAAAGAGGCCCCCAAGACGGCCTCCCAAAGGGCCAGACGGCGCCAGAGCACCCCAAGACGGCCCCCCAGAGGCCCCCGAGAGGCCCCAAAAGGGCCCCAAGAGGCCACCAAGAGGCCTGGCCCCCAAGAAGCCCCCAAGACGGCCCCAAGGAACCACCAAGAGGCCCGCGGAATGGTATACGAATGGCGAGTTGCTGTCATGCTCATCGGAGTTTGACCTTGGCGCTGCCTTGCGCTGGCACGCGGTGAATGCCCATTGCCCTCGTGGACATTCGCACGCTCGTTTCGGCGCTGACACGAGGGGGCGCGCATCCGACCCCCGTGGCGCTGGCAGCGCCCCACGGCGGGCAGAAAGACACGGCCGAACGTCGCGGCAGACGAGCAGCGCAAACCGCCCAACGCCCAGCCTATGAGTGCTCCAGACGTGCACCCCGCGAGGCGAAAGACAAACGGAGGAAAAACGCCCGGGTCGATAAAACGAATCAGTAAGTCGGAGATCTGGGACTGCAAGCGTGGACACGCCCCAGCGGGGTGGCAGGACGGCACCCGCCCCCCCAAGAAGTCCCCCCCCGAGACATGCGATGTTTAGTATTGATTATTCCGATACGCGGTCTTGATTTCTTGGTGAGAGACAGCCAGCCCCAGACATGCGATGTCTTGATTTTTCGGTGCGCTGTCCCTGGCAGTCCCGACCCTTTCCCCAGGACCGGCTCTCCGAGGCAGCGCATCGCCAGCGGCACGAGAGCCTTCTGAAGTAGAACGGGGCACCTCCACGCCTTGTGGCAAGCACCTGCACGCCTGCTCTGGAATTGGGGAGCTCCCTGGAAGGTTGGCGTCCCTCCGATGGAGACCTGTGGCCGAAAAGAACTGACGCCATGGGGGCTAATAAATCCATTGAGGAGAAGCAGCACCGTGTTGGGAGGAAGGGGTTGGGAGGATGAAGGGCATGAGCAATAGCATCCGAATGCAATGAACGATACCTTCGGCCGCCTACGGGTAAAGATATCCTCATGTCTCCCAACCCCATCCCCCCAACCCGACAATTGTCTTCCTGATCCATGAGCTCACGCTCTGGCCGAGGGGCTCTGCAGCAGCACCCGCTGTGCCGCGAGGCCAGCGCCCGCGCGGCCCGCCAGTGGCTCGCGGCCTACGGGCTCTCCCCCCATGGGTCGTCTCCGTCTCGGGGCCCGGCAAGGGCCCCCCTCGAAGCCGATGGTGGCCCGAAAGAAGGAGCCGACCACTACACACTGACGCTCTCTCCGGCCCCGCACTGAGGCTCGCACAGGAAAGCGTATCCTGGTGTATACGGGATCCTGGTGCATACATGTTTCGTTGCTTCCCAGGGAAAGCGGGGAAAAAAAATATACACCACACCACCCGGACGTCGTCCCCGACCCTCAAAAGTCCCAGTATGGAAAAACAGCCCGCCGCTGGTAATGTAAATGCTCAAACTTCCGACAAGAGCCGCCCGTGATGAGGTTTGGCTCGGCACGAGCATGTCCAGAGGCCTCCTAGATGGGGCCCGAGCAGATGGGGCCAGAGGATTGCACCGCATCGGCGATGCGTCGGCGATGCGGCGCGATCCCCCGACCCCGTCTAACCACGTCGACCCCATCTGGGAGGCCTAGAATGGGCGGCGATGTCCGAGCCCTGCCGCCTCCAACCATCGACTCTCCCGTACCGATGGGAGGCGGGAGTGGGTTTTGGATTTCGCCACGTGCTCGGCGAATTCCGCACACTACCGCCACCACCCACCGAGTTGCTTGAACCGTTGCTTGGCGAGGGCAAGGCTCGGAGCCCCCACCCCCCACGCCCCAGCCCGCGCCTCGGCCGACCCGCGCGGCGACGCAGGACGGCCCAGCTTGCGCGGGCGCGGCGCCTCCTCCCCCTCCTGCTCCTCCGGGTGCAGCCCTAGGGCGCCCCTGGCCCAGGGGCCCCCCGCAGGGATGCTGCCCCGTCCTAAGACGAAGGCAGGACGAGGGCAGAATCGGATGCTGATGCGGCCATCGTGCCACCGTGAGGACGCCATAACGGGGGACGAGAGGGCTCTTCTGGCCACGGCGAGCCCCAGCCACGGATCGGCTCCCAGGCCCAGACCCAAGAGTAGGCCCGAAGACCATGGCCCGTGGAACCCCTACGGACCTGTCTCGCAGGAAGCCTCGACGGCAAGCTGGGAATCTCCGAGGGGAACGCCCTGGGAGGGCACATGCTCGAGGGAGAAAGCCTCGAGCTGGAGTCGGCGATGCACCGCCGATCGATCGACGACGGGCCCCCGATGCCGGAACCGCACGTTCCAGGGGGGGGGGGGGCTACAGGGCGCCTGGCTCGGCGATGGAGGGGCGCCTGGGAGTCGATGAGGCAGCATCCCCCCTGAGCTTACTCCCCCCTGACGTTGCCCCCGAGGGGTGCCTTCAGGCTCTTCCCGGGAGGCCCCCCAAGGGGGCCTCCGGGGCGGCCCGCAAAGGCCTGCAGGCCCCGGGGCCTCCCACGAACGAACGAAGACTGCCGCCGCCGGTCGAAAACCGGCGGCACTGAAGGGGACCTGGGACACACAAATAAATACACACAAATTAAAAGATTCCCCATATTTTCCCATATTTTCTTGGTTTTTGTATTCCCCCCCACTTCCCATATGTTCCCATATTTTCCTGAGAATCGACGATTAATTGTGTCTGTGTGTTTTTTCCTCTCCTGAGGCACGTGCGGGTGGCAGGCACACCGCTGCCAGCGCGCGGGCCCCAGGGGCCTCCAAGATGACGCCGACAAGAACGGTGGGCACCCTCCCTGGGATCCGACGATGCGGACAAGCTGCAGCCTCGCGAGAACTCAGGACCGGAGCCAGGGCTGGAAGTGAGAAGGGGCGGGCCTCCTCAGAAGGCTCGGAAGTCCCCGGGCCTTCTGAGAAGTCTTCCAAGCCTTCCCCGAAGACGCGCAAAAACTTCTCAGAAGGCGCGGGGGCTTCCGAGAAGCCTCGCCGCCTTCTGAGAAGGCCCTCTCCGTCTCGCTTCCCCCCCTCGCTCGCCGCCGTGCACCTTTCCTGCGGCACTTTGCGTGCCGCGTCCACCCGGGAGGGTCCCGGGCCCCGGGGCCGTAGAAGACGGTGCGAGAGCGCCCGGCGCGAGAAGCTGCAGCGCCCAGAAGCGGCAGGCCTGGGCCAGGGCCACCCTAACGAGGCAGCGCCCGGCTCCTCCTCCCGCCGCCGGCGCTCGGGGCGCCTCCTCTCCGCCTCGGCGGGGCGGGCCGGGGGGGCGGGCGGAGCGGAGCTGGAGGCCGCCAGGCCCGAGGCTGCACGTGCCCACCCCGCCGGCGAAGCCAGCCTCGGGCACGAGGCGAGCCTCTTGCGTCCATCTGGGGCTCGCCGTTGGCACGCCCGTGGGCGGACGGCACCCGCTCCCCTCCCCCCCGGGCCCCCCTCTGGTCTCGGCCCCTGGGCCTGCGGGGGCTCCCGGGCCTGTCTCGAGAGCCG